GCCAGTTCGATTTGCTATATTATGTATCTTAAATAGCTCTGTACGAGGCAATTTGCCAGCTGTGTGGCGTGCGTCAGCAAGAAGGCGCGCTCGGCGCGGCGTATCAACCATCGTTTTTGGCGTTCGTGAGGCCGCAGGAGAAGGAGGATCAATCGAATGAGACTTTCGGCAGACGCGGCGTCTATTTCCCTGTTTAGAATCCATTGTTCCCTAAATTTGAGTGAGTATTGGTAGAGAAATAGAGGAATGAAGAAGGGGGGAGGAGGAAGGGGATCTGAGAACTGCCATAAATTTCTGCGCCAAGCTTCGGACCGAAGGACCGCTTCCTCGGTGGGCGAGATTCAGATCGACGGTATCTGTTTTGGCGGTTTGGTTTTGGCCCAAGGCAATGCTTGGGAAGGCATGCCGCCGACCTCGTAATCAGAATGACTTTGGTATACCTCGTACGTAATTACAACCTCAGTTTGCTCAGTGATGATGCCTGGGTAAGGAGCCGTGAGAGCTGGATTACTCATCCAGATTTTCAGCTACGGTGCGTCAAGAGAATATGAAGCAATACAACGCTTTCGAATTGAAATAGAGGATAGGATAGAAAAGGCTCCTGACATCAAAGGCAACTTATGCCACAAGTTGTGTCAGTGTTGGAATAATCGGTCAGAAAAACCGTGTCACGAGCGGCGAACGTTGAGATATCATACCGCTTTGCGGAGGCTTAGCAATTTTAGCCATTGGTCCCTGGTTTTACAGGGGCTTAGCCCCTAAAGCTTCCAAGTCTGGCTTCTAAAGAGCCCCGAAACTCGTGTGGGCTTTACGAGCGAATGAAATAGAATGCTCCAAATGATGCCTCTGTTAGAAGTATGCCATGAAGCAGTGCAGATTAGATTAGTAAGCAAGAGAAAGTAGATGGAATGGATTGATTGACTTGCTATCTCAACTCCTGAGGAGTAGGATGACCGCTATATATACGCATAGAAGAGGCAAGCTATAGAATCACCTAGAAGGAGATCATAAATCAGCGTTGCAATGCTAACTGCAGCATTTGTGAGTGTATGCGTTTCTGAGTAATAGCGCGTGGCGAACAGTTGCGGTGGTCGGAGAACTCCGTCTTCCGCTGACAGCCTCGAGTGGTACCCTCCATAACGTTCCCTAATGACGTCCCCCCAGTGATACCCAACGGCCCTTACACTTTCACAGATGATCCCAATGTCCCGACAGCCACGATAATTAGGTAAGTTATGTAATCAAACAGACGATATTGAGCGTAGGCTGTGGTGGAAATGTGGCTCAAAAGCACCGTGATTGTGCCAAGCCTCAGCAAAGGGGTTAATTAACCTTAAAAGTGGTTAACATTTAGGTGTTCTCTTTATATCAACTTAGGCTCTTCTGCTTCACTATTAGCTGACAAACAATACGCTAGTCTGACTATATAATATTTGATCTTTGTAACAAATATATACAAATGAGACGACGATGGGAGCTGCAGGGCCTTGGCGCCAGGGACCCTTTATTTCGTCCCGTCATGGTATATAGCTACAACCCACACATGAGCCCTCCATCTGTACGGAGCTTACAAACAACAGGAAAACTTTTTTGGTTCCGGAAAACTAGATTCAGCTGCATATGTTAATGATGTCTGTATTTTATTGTACAAAGCCTTTCATGACTAAAACAGCTGGTTGTTGACGTTTGAGGGTGAGCTTTTGTTGCTGTGTATCACGTATTGAAGTACATCCTTATAATCCGAGGACAGGGTAAGTCGCTCCTTGTACCAAATTACTTACGCAAAGCATGCGCTACATAGCGTTAGATACTCATAATGGTATTGCAAAGGTCCATGTTGGCAGTGAGAGAAGGCGCAACATGGCTCTTCGAGCCTTCCGTGTCACCATCGCGCTATGCTTTCGGCGCCTTGGGAAATTCAAAGCATATGTACTCCGAACATGGCACCAACACAGGGAGTCATATTGAATCGGAACAGAGAAAGCATCTGAGAAAGCATCCGAGAAAGGTATCCGACCGAGATTGGTCTTTATGCTTAACGACAATGTGTGCCAACTTGGGCACATGCCATGAATGACAGAACTGGCTCTCATTACTACAATCCTTTTGCATAGCTGGGATTGTTATCTATCAAAATGGAGGACTTCGTGAAGCACACCAAAGACCACGACGACAACAAGTCAGAGAAGGCACGACTGACGGACCAGCATGATGTAATGATGGATGCCATGGGTGGCAAAGCCATCTTTGTTCCAATCGACCTATCTAAACCCGGCCTCCGCATTCTTAACTCCGGCACTGCAGATGGCCGTTGGCTCTTCGACCTTCGTTCAACCTCTCAAGCTAAGCATGAGTACGTTGGTACAGATATCGACGAAGGGTTGTATCCCGAACCAGCGCCAGAGGACATGCGTTTCCAGAACCAGTCGATCCGTGAACCATTTCCGGCTGAGTGGCAAGAAAGCTTCGACCTCGTGCATCAGCGTCTCGTCATGGCCGCCGCGCCGCCTGAGACTGTGCTCTCAGTCGTAGAGAGACTTGCCAGCCTGCTTAAGCGAGGAGCTTGGTTACAGTTGGTCGAAGTGGACACAGACGCTGTACCTGGCAACGGGCCCGCTCTGAAGAGCTTCCTGAGCTATGCCCAGCAGATGTCCGCCGCCAGTGGAATGGGCTCCAACCTCGCCAAAGACCTTGCCGGCACCATGCAGAAAGTAGGTCTGCAGAACGTTGAGCAGCAATCGATTGAAATAATGCACGGCTTCAAGAATGAAAAGACGGGCTTGAAGCAGAAGAGCATGGACAGTCTTTGCAATGCTGTACCGCCTCTTATGCAGGGTGTCAAAAGTGAGTTTGTCGTGACTAAGCTGAATGCGAACCGAACTGACATAGGTGGCAGTGGTGTTACCTGACCAGTACGATGAAAAGGAGGCAAGCACTCTGCAGTCTCGCCTGCGGAAGGAGCTCGAGGAATCAGGTGGCACCACTAAGGTCTTTGTTGTCTGCGGTCAGAAGGCGTGAAATGATCCTAGCATGAACCATGCAAAGGAGTGCTGGATGCTGTTTACCGCATCTGACTTATATGGCAGAATGTTAGTAGTAAAGTGATCTTTCATAAAATATCCCGCGAACTTGCGGATGTCGCGTCCTGATAAATCTGTGTGGGGACTTCTATGAATGTGTTCGCCGTGTGATGATTATGCAGAGAGGCTCACCATCGTTAGTTGAGTGGTGACTTCCTAGAAAGGAGACTAGATGGCCGCCCCTTAATGCTGACCTTTCCCTAAGAATACTCTAACTTTTTTTTGTTCTTATCGCTTCTATATCCTCTGCAGACTTCGTATTCTCGGTGGGCTTCTTATCTTTCAAGGATCAGATCTCGTACCTTTTGTAGGCTCTACAACTCTTCGTGTATCACATTTCTGGGAGTGCTGTCTTCCGTTGGTTCTGATACTATGTAGAAATCGTCTCTGTTAGGCTCTATTGTTTTCGTAGGCTTTGTTGCTTCTGCTAGATTCTATGGATTTCTCAAGTTTCATTACTCCTGTACAACTGTTATCTCTGTTATCTCTACTCTTTGGAATTGCGAGAAAGAGTTCGGATGCAAGAGTTCAGCTGTCAAGGATGAAAGATAAAACTTAAAAACCGTTTGTGAGGGCTGGTTGGACAACTTTGCTGTGTTTGCCCTCGTAATTTGCCCACGTTTTGCAATTTCAAACCCAACTTTGCTACACCGTACGGAGTCATGCATCAAAAGTCTTCAATGTACGCTAATTTTAGAGCGTCACTAGTATCAGCTATCAAGCTCTAGTGGCAGCATACACTGTGGGCTGTAGGGGTTGGGTCCCTAAACTGACCCATGATAGCCTCCTATTGTGGATATTTCTACGGCTCCTTTTTAGACTGCTTTGTCATTGCCTCAGCAACAGAGCTAGCTAAGCTATAGCTGTTTCGCTCTCATGTTACGGATCGTGCTGATACTGCACTAGTATAGAAAGAGCTAGCTGTTTTAAATCCTAGTTAGCGTATATTGATGACTTTTTACGCACGACTTCCCACAGCCAATTTGTATATATATCCGCATACGCAGCTCGAAAGCTGTACGGCCCGCCCACTCTCCGTTTCGGTCAAAGCGGTCAGCCAGATAATACAAACAGGCAGTTCCTTCAAAAACATGGACTGTTTCACCTGTATCGGGGTCTTGATCCTTAAGGGCGGGAACCATTCGCTCGGGATGAATCTGATATGCCCACTGCGTCTTTGTATCGATTACAGAGAGGCAGTGTGGAAATTGCAGCTCCTCAGCAAGAATCAGAGGCTTAATGTAGTTAATGTAGGACGTCTCGTCCGCTGTTCTTGTGTTAACATTGATCGAAAACGGCGTCGAGGAATTGCCGATAAACGAGCTTACAGACCCTTGATAACATAGAGGATGACTCGGCCATCATATTGTGGATCGCCAGTGATCACTTCGCCGTTCGGTATTAGTTTATTGTTTGGAAAGTCCTTCACGGCAGCCGTCGTTGACTTTGAAGGATGATCAGTATGAGCCAAGATGGCCCCGTTTGAGTGCTTATTCATAGCCACTCAACGCAAGATTGAAGGGTGTCTTCGCGGACGGTGTAGTGCAGGTGTGGATTTCAAAGGAATTACCTTGAAGAGATTACCTCAAGCAGGTTGATGTTTAAGTCTGGGTGAAGGGTATGGTGAAAAGAGATCTGCAATACGCCGAACATCAATTCGAGGAGATCAGGCGGCTATGTAAGTACTGTGCGCTCCATAGGTGTTGCAAATCTCTAGCGTTGATTGAGAAATGCCGCCATCGTATTGTCAGACAGAAACAGCTCTTGAGGACCCAATAGGTATGTTCACTAGATACGTTCTACATCGAAACGATGCTGAACTTTATCGATGCCTCTAACATATAGTTTAATATCAAGGGCATGTTTCTATCAACCACTCTTTCCACATAATATTCCTTTATTAACTCTCTCAGATCTAGATTCCAAATTGGAAAGTGAAGTTCAAACCAAGATCCTCAGGACTATAGCTATTGAAAAATACAAATTTCAGCACATTGTACATGCGTAATGAGGAATATAGTATGAACAGCCAGAGCAGCAGCAGCTCTGTGGGGTCTTGGCGTCTGCGGAGCTATTTAATCCGAACTTTGTATTAGATTGTATTTTCTAGATACTTACATACACCCATAATTGACCCCTTTGAGCCGATTAATGCTTTTAGCTCCTAAGAATGCGTCAAGCTTATGCAACACTTGTGGAACACACAGTAAATTACTCGTGAGCCTGTGTTTTTCGGCGGCTCGAATAGGTGCGTTATTAATATGTCTCCGAACTCGCCGACGAAAAGTCTCCGAGGTCATGGAATTCCACTCGTGCCAAGCGAGCCTCCTTGTGAAGCAGATGGATCTATCCTCAAACCCCTTTTGTTTACAATTCTCATTCTGATTCTCATTCATCCCACACACGAAGCATGAAACTCAACACGAGATTTCGCAAGGAGACTAAGGTCAACAACGACCCTGCCCACGCAAAGCAGGTGAATCCCGATTCCACTCAATCTGGAGATGGAGAAGAAGTTCGAGAGACAGGCGCATTGTCTGAAAATGGTCCGGTGAACCGTCTCTCGAAGAAAAATCTTACCCTGGTCATTGCTGCGTATGTCTATGGCTCCTCAGGATATTAGTAGTGCAAAGACTAACACCAGCCAGCTTGTGTTTAGCTGTCTTCTGTCAAGCACTAGATACCACCATTATCGCAACTGCAATCCCACGCATCACTGACGAGTTCAGCTCACTCGATGATGTTGGCTGGTACGGCTCAGGGTATCTCCTTGCTAACTGTGCCTCTTTGTTGTCATATGGAAAGCTTTACAACCTTTTTCCTGTCCAATGGGTGTTCCTAGGGGCATTGGGCGTGTTCGAGCTCGGCAGTCTTGTATGCGGTGCGACACCATCATCGGTCGGTCTAATCATGGGGCGAGTTATTCAGGGCATTGGCGCGGGCGGATTACTTTCTGGTGGAACCCTGATTATTGCTGCAACTGTACCTCTGACAGTGTATCCACTCAATTCAATTTAGTCAAATCAGTCAATCCAATCCCTTGGCAAATCAGTCAATTCCATGCCTCAGTCAATTCAATTCGGCATCTGTAGAATTGTCAATTCAGTCAATTTGTATGTGTAGAAGGCAATTAGGCTAATTCTGAGCTGAATTGGCCAGTAATTGGTGTAGAAATCAATGTAATTGGTAGAGCTATCTTCATACTTAATGCTAGTGTTGAGCTTATTGCCTATTTCGGTAGTATGTATACGTAATAATAAAATATTTTTTATTCTTCGCAAATTATAAATCCTTTATTAAAGATTAAAGACTAACTTTGATTACAAATTACTCCTTAACTAAGTATTTCTATATATTCAGATCTAGCTAGCTATATTCAGCATCTCTTATTCTATCTCTAATATAATATCTAATTCTATAAGATTATTATTAAGTCTATTTTCAGAAGCTCCGTCTAAGCTAGAGTCCTTCGGACGAGGATCCTTTATCTCCACAGAACAAATACGTACTCTAACTCTATTAAACGCTTTTTTAGCTATTCAAGCTTAGAATCCTCAAAAGCAAACTCGAAACTATATTTCGCCTTAAGCAAAAGCAAAACGAGCACAAACTTCACTTATATAGGCCTATAGAAAAGAGGTAGTGTTAGAAAACAAGTCTAATGTTACAGCACGTGAACACGCCAAGCACAGACAGGCACTACGAAGCTGCCTGACGCTCTGCGAAGGAACTATGACGGACTTGGACAGGACTGAACCCTGAACAGCACACATGGTCAGAACTGGACAACGTAATGATCAGAGGTGATCAGGATGATCAACTCTGAGCACGAATCTTCTAGCCTATATAAGCACGCTTATTTGTCAGATAGTTTTATAGTCTTTGTAGTCAACTTATATTATTAGCTCTTACTTAGAAGTTAAAGACATTTTATAATCTATTTATGCACCTCTTATTTTATAATTTAAACCTCTTAGACCTCACTTCTAATTAAGACTTGTCTTTACTTATAAAGCCTTAATACTTTAATTATTATTTTTTAAATACTAAGTATAATAAAGTAAGATTATTATATTTATAAAAATCCTAATATTATAATTTAAAACTTTAAAATACTTAAGTTAATTATATAAAATAAATATTATTATTATTAATATTTCTTAATAATAATATAATTATTATAACTTTAATCTAACTTTAAAAAAATAAAATAAAAATATAATTTAAAGTAATTATATTAGACTTTTTTTATAATAAAAAAAAAACTTTAATAATGTTGAGAATACATGCTGATTAGCAGACTATAGTCTGCAATATTTGGCTATACACATATAGCCAAATATTGCCCGGGCAGGTTATTCCTAATCAGGTATAGTGCAGGATTTCATGTGCTGGTGGCACAGGATATACCACGTGATCCATGCGCTAGCAGGATCTGCACTTGGTGTGCAGATACACTATGATCTCACTCTACATGCAAGTTGTGACTATTAATAGTGTTGATAGTTGTGACTATTAATAGTGTTGATAGCTGTTCCTAATCCGTATACCCGTTCAACAGGTTATGAGCCCGGTGCAGAACAGCTATAGACATCAACAGTGAGTAAAGGCCCAATTGAGATTACTAAGCGAGCTGCTACTCCTGTGGCGAGGTACAGTCATGTCATACTTAATTATGGAACGTAAGCGAGTTGAATACTCTAGGGCTACAGAATTACAAGTCTGTGGATTCAAGAGCAGAGATATTAATTGTGTTACAGTTTATCTTAAGACTCAGAAATTAGCTTATTATAGCTTGTAAGTTAATTAACTCTGTAAAGATTAACTAAGTATAATAGTAATTAATTAATATATTTCTTCTTTACTTAAAAGTCTATAATAATTAGAATATATATTCTTTTTTTTTTACCTTAGTTAATTTAATTCTATACTAATTATTATCTTATTCTACTATTAAAATAGATAACACTATAATAAAGAAATAACTAATACTAATCCTTATATATATTAATTATAAATAATAGTTTAAACTCTTTATCTTTTACTTTTAAGCAGAAGAAATCTGGCTAGTACTAATATATGCTAAAATACTTATTTAAAAAGGCAGAAAAGCTAGATACAAAAGCATAATATATATTCTATAACGTGGTTTACTATTACCTTGCTATTCCTATTACCTTACTACTTTTTATCTAACTTCTTAACTTTCACATTTAATTACGACCGCATAATATAGAGAAATCAATCAGAATTAATTATGTTATCTTTATTTAATAATTCTTTAACTATTAGACAGGTTCAGACATTATGTCTAGTCTTTCCGCATTATCTATAGCATCAAACAGTTACAGGCCTTGCCTCTGACTAACCCTCCTTATTAATTTTTTTTCTCTTTTTCTGACTGCTAGAATTCTTTACAGCGATTAAGACTTAAGCATCTTCTATAGTAAGTATATCACCTTCTTAGAGTCTGATATACTTAGTTTGTCGTCGCTTTACAAGGGCCTTATTTGCATCTTAAAGGGTATAAAGCTTTGTCGTCGCTTTACAAGGGCCTTATTTGCATCTTAAAGGGTATAAAGCTCAATATATAAAAGGGTTATTTTATGAGTAATTACCTCTGTATCTTTTGCTAACTACTTTATAGCTTCAAAAGTCATAGTTAGGGAGCTTCCTTAATAATTAATAATACAATCCTGTATAAATTAGGATTATAAAACTACTTTAGTGGCTATATATAATATTTAAGGTACTTAAAGGTTAGTATTACTAAAAGAAGGACTAGTTAGTATTAGCATATAAATCTTAATATCTAGCCTTAATAAGAATTTAATGTCTATTTAGTCCTTATTTATAAGATTATATAGATAGCTACTTAATAAAGGAAAAGCCTAATAAAGAAAACTTTAAACTTATTAAACTAGGTAAACACGGCTATTATAAGGGGTTAAAGATTACCTTACAAGGCGCCTTTATCTTATCTACATTTCACTTACGTACTTATTGCCCTCTCTTATATAGTCATCCTTTTAACTATACACCAAATATCTTAGAGGGTCTTAACCTCTGCTGTTACTACTCCTCTGCTGCATTAAACACTCTGTACCCTCCTAGCTTCTCCTCTGTTATCTCTTTTGCAGTGCGAAATTGCTCTAGGATCCTTGTACGAATAAACTAGCGAGCTGTGTGCTTTACGTATGCGAGTTAGGAGAGGATCTCACTTATACGCTCTATTCTGTAGGCAGCTAGCATGCCTACTCTGTTATATCTTAGGCAATATAGCAGGATATAGCGAACTGTTTACGTGTGTTAGCCACAGGCGCAGGCAGGATTAGTATCTGGTACTTAGATAGCTGCTAATCATGCGTTCAGGCCTATAACCTCTGACCACATTAAGAATAGTACTGTTGCCTCTGCCTTTATTAACCTTGCGTATAGTGTACGACTATCCTGCTCCTAGGGAGTAGACCAGAATGTTGCTTATAGCCAGCCTCTCCTTCTCTGTAATATGGCTGCCTACCTCTTCTTCTACTTGAGATTACCTTATTTAGTAAGTAGGTTTCTTTTGCTAGGTAGTCTCCTTGGCCTAGGTAGTTAAGGATTGAAGCCTCTGTCTTACAGTGTTCAGCAAGCTTATATTATGTATATAGTTTACTTTAGCGCTATTACTTTACTATTTACTTATATATTTCTTAGATTCTCTGTTATGCTTTAGCAGCAGTATTCTTTCTTCTAATCTTTAGCCTATAATATAATTATAATAAGTATATATTCTGTATATAATCTTATAATTATAATATCTGCTATTCTAATAATCTCATTTTTTATCTAATAATCTTTTGTTTTAATTATATAATATTACTTTATACTTATAATATAACGTGGTTTATAAGCGACTCGCGTACATAAGCAACTCGCGTACATAAGCAACCCGCGCACTTTTTTTAAAATGATAGTCTTTTAATTATTAGCTAAAATTAAATTATAATTATATAATAAACATTATTCTTAATATAATAGAATACTTTTTAAGATTAAAGTTATTTATATAAGCTAAGAAATATTAATTTAAAATATTATAAAAAAGTAAAATATATCTTAAATCACTCTTTATAAGGCTAATAA